TATTTATTTATACAAGTACTGGGTACAGTCAGAAGCATGGGAGGGTGAGAGAATTCACCAGAGCCAGAGCGGGGAACAGAACAGGCAAACTGAGGAAATACACTGCTGAGGGGAGCAGCGGGTGCAGCACAAGAGGTCTGCGCGCCATGTGGGACCCTTGCCGGTGGCCGGGAATCGAACCGGCGCTGCAGAGGCTGCGGGCAGCTTCGCAGCCCAGCACTCAACCGCTGCGCCACCAGGGGAGGCCCCTAGGCCCATTTCTTTGACCTCCCTTGGGCTTCGCTGAGCTTCACCACCCAAACCAAGCCGCCGTCTTCCTTTCCCTTAGCTTTCTAAGCAAGGGGAGGTTTTGGGGGCATGGGCAGGGGAGGAAATGAGGGGCCTGATGAATGGAGTGGCAATTGACTTGGCCAAGGCATGGTTTATATTTGTCAGTCCCACCCCTACTGCCCTTCGGTTCTTGTATGATTTTTATTTATATTAATATATCATAACTCCATTCAAAAAACTCAAATATATCTATTTCGACCCACATTCCTGCCTCACTAGCACAACTGTTTTCACTTTCCTTAGCCCCTTTTGGTCTCTATCCACACGCACACATACTTATACATAGTTGTAATCATTCAGACTGTGTAGACTTCACTTTCCGTGTAACAGTATATTGCAAACATTTTCCATTTTATCACAGTCCACACTTGTGATTGCATAATATTTTGCCTTGCCAATGTGCCCTCACCTGCTCTTGCTGTACTAGGGTCTGCTTTTCCTCCCATTTCTCTTCCCAGTTGCCAACAGTCTTGAGTCTCTGGTCCCAGTACTCTGCCCTTCCCAGGGAGCTATAAGATCTGAGCTTCTCCACCCCAGGGCCCCCACTATCAAGCCACCCACTTCAAAACTCCCTGTTTCTTTGGCCATAGAAAAGCAGCCATGCAAAACTGCAGGCAGTCTCAGTACACAACTTTGAGGTTGTCTTGATTACTTACAAGTAGCCTCTTCCCAAGAGGAAACAGTGTGGAGCCGGTCTTCTGGCTCCTTTCTCTCTAGGTTTTGAGGGAAATGGTGAAGGTGATTCTTTGGCAATGCTTGTAGGTCTACTGCTCGGTCAGGGCAGGGGGCTTGGGGCTAAGGCCCTCTCTGGGATCAGAAGGCCCACGTTCTAGGCCCAAAAGTTAAGCTGGGGCTAGTGAAAGTGAAAGAATGCCAACCCCACACCTGGCAGACATTACTTACTGGTGCTCTGGCCATGGAGCTAACAGTGTCTCTCCACTCCAATTCTGTAGCTGACTTCTTCCAGCCAAACTGGAGGTTTCTGTTTATCTTACCAGACCAGGGCAGCAGTTCTATATCTCTGCCCTCTCATGGCCAAATAATCAACTGAGGGATGATTAAAAAAAAAAAAAAAAAAGCCAATGAACTTATTTGTAACAAGAGCTGATATTTGTGGAGTACTTTATACCAGGTACTATGTGAAAAAGCATTTTATGCTTCTCATCTCATCCTCACAAGAAGCAAATAAGCAGAAAACTGGGGCCTCCCTTATGGCCTAGAGGTTAAGTTTCAGTGCTATCACCACCAAAGCCTGAGTTCAATCCCTGGCAAGAGAGCTAACCCACATGGTACAGCAGACCTCTCCTGTCTCACCTGCTGCTCCCCTCAACAGTGTATTTCAGTGGATCTGCCTGTTCTGCTCCCCACTCTGTCTCTGGTGAATCCTTTTACCCCCCTGTACCCTTGGCCTACATCACCCAGCTCTAGGAAACCACCATGCTCCCCATTTGATGGCCGTGGGAACAAAGTCCCAAGAAGTTGTGACTGCCTGGATCATCCTTAGAATTTCCACCAGGCACCCCCCCAACCCCCATCCATGCCAGCCAGCTAAGCCAGGAAACCACAAGTTTAAGCAAACTTGAGCTGAGCTGCTTCTTTTCCACCCTCTTCAGGGAAGCCTCTCACTGGTGTGGAAGTTATCTTGTAGAACGGCATCGATTAGAAATTTTCCATTCCCTTTAAGTTTCGTTTTAGAAGCTTTGCCCTATTTTTTCCTTAGAAGTCTCTGCTTCAGGGAACCTGCTTCAAGGGAAGGGGCGAGCAGGGAATGCAGGATGTGGGGAGGAAAGGGAAGAGCTGATTGTAATGTCAGCCTCCTTCCCCTCAGTCTTGGAAAGGAAGAGACAGGGAGTGGGTAGAGCAAAAGGCTACAGATACAGAGGCCCTGTTTATGAGAGTCCCCAACCCAGGTGCTTTGAGAGCCCCTCACCACCAGCTGGTGGCCTGGTAGAAAGAACAGAAGCTTTTGCAGCAAACCAGGGTTCCTATCACAGCTTGGCCACTTACTCGCCAGATAACCTTGGGTGGGTAACTTGACTATCTGCAAAATGGAGCATAACATGCTTCTCGCAACTATCTGTTATGAGGAGCAGGCGAGAGAGCATGTGTGCCGGGCCCAGCACAGAGCAGATGCACCAGAAAGGTGAGCTTCCCTTCTCATCCCTGGTTCACCCTTGGAGGAAAGCACTTAGGGCTCTGGGACCAAGCTAACCCACCATCAGGAGATAGAAAGGGGACCTAGCACATGCATGCAGGTTCTCCTCTCCCCCACCCCCCATACAGACACCCTGTCCATGTGCCAGAAAAGGGCTTCTCTGGATCAAAGCCTGACTGGTTATATTACCAAGTTGCTCTCTGTTTAAGCATCACAGCTATATGCACCTCATTATCATGGGTTCTTAGAAAGCCGCTTCACTCAAAGCACCAAACACAGCAGGGACTTTGGTTTCCAGAGCCATGGGGAAAGGTGGGGAGACCCAAGGCCCCAGGGTTGCTGTTCATTGGTAGAATAAGCCAAGGATTCCTCCATGTCCCCAATCTGCAATTCTGGTCCCCACTGGCTGCAGCCATGGTAAGATGGCTTTCATGTAGTAACCCTTTCAAATAGTCCCCTGGAGAAACTGAGGCACAAAACCAGAAAGTGGACTTCTTTGCCTTCAAGATTTTTACTTTCCCTGCCTTCCCTTCCTCGCTGCCTGCTTGTCCTCCATAAATGCAGTCGGCATCCCTTGTCTGGCCTCCAGACAGGCCTGCTGCTGTGTCTAATCATAGCAGTGGGTGTGCCCTGGCTTAACCCAGTGCTTGTAATGGCCCAATTTCAGAAACACCAACTCTGATTTGAGCACTTTGTCAAAGCATTTTTCTGATGGTCGTGGCATTTGGAAGTACTCATCTGCTGCGGGCTGGCCTGTCGTGGCCCTAGCCCCATCCTCCATTAAGGTGGCTGACCAATGCCCAGCCTGATCCTCAGGGATGGGGACACAGCTGAGGTGAGCCTGGGCCTCTGGGGAAAACAGGCAGGGGTGAGGATGGGACTGGAAATGCCCTGAGTCTCAGAAGGTCCGAAACCGCTCTAAGCACTTCTTTGAAGGCCCTGAGGAGTCCTCTCTGTGTGCTTTGTGAGTGAGTCAGTGGGAATGGCAGTCCTGGAGCCCATTTCTATCTGGACCTGTTCCCTAACACGCCAAGTCACTTCCAATAGGTGTGAACATAATGGATTCATTTTTCCTTTTGAAGACAGCCCACACTGCACACCTGCTGAGCTGGCCAGCATGGTAGGTTACAAAACACTGGGGCCATATTTCTGGTACCTCGATGTCCCCCCTACGGAGAAGGAAAATGTCAGTGGAGCAAATTACCAACTGAATGCTTTGGAATCTATAAATATTAAATCGCCCTGGCTTTCTCTGGCCCATATAAAATTAAAGCTCTGGTCAGCTCCAGAGGAGAGGCAGCTGATTAATGTGAGGAGGTAGTGGCCTGGCTGCCAGTGGAGAGACAAGTGTCCCCAAAGGGCAGGACTGAGGCTGACTCCAGGAGCTGCGGTTCGTGGGGGGTAGTAGCTCTGGCTGGAGGTGAAATAGCAGGGAGTGGAGTGCAAAGAGCAGAGAGATGGAATACCCAAACAAGACAGTACCCCCAGATGGGGGTTGCTCTGATTGTTCATCTGAGTCTTTATGGGGGGGCGGGCAGTTTTGAGGAGAACTCTGGTTGCATTTCTTCTTACCCCAGCTCAGGATGCTAATATGCCCGTCTTCAGTGCCATCTGCATGCTTCCTCAGGGACTGCCCGCCTCCAGAGAGCAGATGTGAGACCCTCTTCAGGCAAGGGAATGGGGCACTCACTAGCAGCCAGCTGTCCTGCTGCTTCCCCAGCCCCTGGCTCATTCCCCACGGGCTCTTGTGCTCACTCTGGCGGGGCCCTCATACGTGTTGTCTATGCTGATGTGTGTACAGCAAGAACCCCTCATGGGAGGGGTGTGTTTTTACACCGTCTCTGGTAGGTTCTAGATTACAGGTGGAGGGAGTGTCTCCTGCTTCTTTGGGATCTCTTTAGGAGGCCACTGTTTACCAACTTCTTCTAGATGCCAAGACCGGGTACTAAGTTCTTTTTGTTTTTTTTAAGATTTATTTATGCATACAAGAACTGGGGTACAGGCCAGAGGTATGTGTGTTGGGGGGAGAGGGTTCGCCAGAGACAGAGTGGGGAACAGAACAGGCAGATCTACTGAAATTCACTGCTGAGGGGAGCAGCAGGCAAGGCAGGAGAGGTCAGCTACCTGGCTGGGGATCGAACTCGTGCTGCAGTGGCTGCAGACAGCTCCATAGGTTGCATCTTAATCCCTTGCACCACCAGGGAGGCCCACCAGGTGCTCAGTCCTTTAAATGCATGACCCCTTGATCTTTACTTAGTGGGTGAAGTAGGGCCTGCAGTACATTCACCAGTATACTGCCGTGACAGATAGAGCCCCAGAGGTGATGTGACTGACCCGGGGTTCCTTGGAGAAGGAGCCTGTGGCTCCCCCCTTGGTCCGTGTCTCTCTCGCTGAGGCTGGGTCCCACCCCAAGACTCCTTATCGCCTCCTGAGTCTCTGTGAACTGGGGAGGCTGGTGCTCCTGGGGAGCTGCCTCTCGGGCTGTGGCCAAGCGCGTGTGCTCTCTCTCCTGCAGGCATCCCCACGCTCATCGTGCTGGACCCGCAGGGAGACGTGATCACGAGGCAGGGGCGGGTGGAGGTGCTGAACGATGAGGACTGCAGGGAGTTCCCCTGGCACCCCAAGCCCGTGCTGGAGCTCTCCGACTCCAACGCCGTGCAGCTCAACGAGGGCCCCTGCCTCGTCCTCTTCGTAGGTATGGAAACAGCAGAGGGCACAGTCGGGGGACAGGGACAGGGCAGGTTCCAAACGGAGATGTCTGTCCCGCAGCTTCTTCCCATCACAACAATGCAGTGCTTGGGGCTTTGTCTCCCTCCAGCAGCCTTGCTTTTGACCCCAATGATTTATTCATGGCTCTGCCCCCTGTGGGAGGTGTTCTGGGAGCTGCTGCTGTGCTTTCCTTCCTTGCTGCTCCCAACTGCCAGCTGGGAAGAATAGGTCAGGCCCAAGGATGCCCTCTGTCCCCCTGATGAACAGGCCCTTTGTTGGAGGAGGCGGGCCTGCACCGCAGCTGCTGGGACTGGGCCCCCTCAGTGGAGCCTTACCCTGCTGTTCTCATCACCTGTGCTCTGTTCAACTGCCCCGGGGGCAGGTCTGCCAATTCCCAGCTGCAGGATGACATCTCTGTGACCTGGTGCCCTCAGTCTTTGTCACACTGGCACTCTGGTGACTGTGGTTGGCTGGACAGGACACAGGAGCTCCTACCCCAGGTTCCCTCAAGCCCTGTGGGATGAGCCTCGTTCCTTCTGCAAATGGAGCAACTGCTGCCCAAGGCCACTTCACCCTCTGCTTTAGGATGTGTTTCTTTCCTCCCACTCAAAATGACTTTGGATATGAGGATCATGACCGAGATGCTGCCATGTCCATTTCACTGAGGAGGGTGGGGTTGTTTGCAACATCCTACCCCTGTTCACTGGAAGTCTCATTTGCCCTTTCATCCCCCACCACTCCAGGAGAACCAATAGGCAGACACAAGGAAATTCTTATGTAAGCAGGTCCATAGGTTGGTCCCGTGTTTAGAGGACAGAGGTCACTTGGGGAGAGATGACCTTGGGAGCTCATTCACCTTGGGGCCTCCCTGCCTGCTGCAGGCCTACACAGCCATACTCTGAGCCTACTAGGGAACAATTCTGAACCAAGGGATAGTTGGGAACCTCACTGGCCATATGCAGATATAGAAACAGGGTCCCAGAGGGTTCCCAGCATCACACAGCTCTTAGATGAATGTGTCCCACGTCTGCATGCTGTGGGCCTCTTGGCAGTGGCATTTCTGGGTGCAAGCTCCCTACTGCACCTGCTCTCTCCTCCCCTGATTTACCACTGAGGGATGTTGCTCTTGTTCTTGGTGATAGTTGCAGCAGGAGTGAGCACTGGGGTCCTGTTGCACTGGGGTAAAAGATGCCTGAGGGGGTTCTCAGGAGCCTGGTCACCTGGTGGACTATCTGTGCACCCAACTCCCCTCCACCCCCACCCCCACCAACCCTGCCCTGCAATAGTCATCCCCTCCTAGGCAAGTCCAACTGTCAGTTTGGTTTCCAGCAGCCCTGAGCCTCCCCACTGCCACCAGTTCTGCCATTTTCACTAGGAAGCCATCCGTCTGAGGTCGTGGCATCTCATGCTGTGATTGAAACTGGCAATCTCAGGTCCTGGCTTAGGGGAAGCTCAGCTTGTGAAGAATTCAATGAAAAGGGCCATTCTGCCTGTGGCATCAGTGCTGTTTAGTGAGGCTGTTCCTGGGGAGCGTGGCGCAGAAGCGAGCCACACAGTGCAAGCATGTGTGTGCACACTGTACGCTCCTCCTCAGGCACCCAGGAGGCGAGGCCTGTGTCCCACCAGGGGATACTCTTTCCATTAAGGAGCTGTCCAGATGAGCATTTTAGGCCCTGGTCCCAGGGTCCCTCAGAGGATGCCACGGTGACAAGCCAGTGCTCTCTGAATCTTTCTCTCCCCGATCACAGATTCTGAGGATGATGGGGAGTCCGAGGCCGCCAAGCAGCTAATCCAGCCAATAGCTGAGAAGATAATTGCCAAGTACAAAGCCAAAGAGGAGGAGGCACCACTTTTATTCTTTGTGGCAGGGGAGGTGAGTATTGCCATGGGTATTGGCTCAGCTGGCTGCCTCCTGGGACATGAGATGGGCCCTTAGGGAATATTTTGAAAGGGCCCAGGGTTTGGGGTGACTATACTTCTGGAAGAGCCTGCACACAAATGTGGCAAGAAAGGTATATCACCAGTCATGGAAACCCCATTGTCTGCCCCTGCTGCTTCCTTCTGCCTATCTTCCTCACTCAGCAGCCTCGCAGCAGTAAGCAGTCCTCCCAGGAACCCCTCTACCCCCAGCCTTAACCCCAGGTGCTCAGCTCCTTCCCAGGCTGCTGGGGAAAGCTGCAGCCACAAAGATTTGATCAACACTTACCAGCCCTGAATCTGGTCTGCAGGAGTTGTTCCTTGAACTGCTCTGCCTGCTTCTATTTTTGTTCTCCGACCATACAGTGTCCATAGGCAGTCAGAGTGATATTACTTTTAAATGAAAATCAGTTAATGTCACTCTCATTCCTATTACTCTCCATTTAACTTCTCATCTTGCGAAACCCTACACAGTCTGGCTCCTGCTCACCTCTAAGATCTTTTCTCCCACAATGGACTGCTGTCCCCAGCCCACTCTCTCCCGCCTCCTAGCTCCCCTTCTGTTCCTGGAACTTACTAAGCCTTTTTCCACCTAGTGCCTTTGTACCAGCTGTTCCTCTGGCCCTAAATGCTTTTTCCATGAGCTTCACATGGCTCTTTCTTGTAATTTTGATCTTGGCGTAAATGTGGCCTCCTAAGAGAAGTCTTCCCTGATGACTTCACATAAATTAGTTACATAGTCACTCACTATTGTGTTATTATCATGTATTTTGATTCTCTGCACAACACTTACCATCAGAGGTTTCCTTTATTTGTTTCTTGTTTATAGACCCCCCATAATAGCAGTAAACTTGTTTCTCTTGTTCATGGCTTTATTCTAACTGCTCAGAACAGTTCTTGGCATTGCAGACAGCATAGGAAATATTTGTTTGAATAATATAATCTCTTTTATGACTTTTTAGATGATTAGATATTATATATGATATAATTTAATATGTATAATAACATCCTTTAAAAAAATACAGTAGGAGTAATTTTACTTGTCACTTCAGAAAGAACACCATTCCTTTTGATGGTATTTTTCAGTTTATGTTCACGTGTGTGTGTGTGTATTTATATTGGGATTTGTATTACTTAGATTTGTATTACTCTTAAGTGCTTAAATGGGTCATTTTTTTCTTTCTTCCTGGAAAAGAAGCCGCTAGTTATCTGCGAAACATCTATTCTTTAATTAACAAGAGTGGAGTGGGTCTAGTTCAAATAATTAACATCCTAGTCTTCACTGCAGATGTAAGTGGTCTCTGGAGAAAAAAAGTGGAAGTCATCAGGTGAAATCTTTAGGAAAGCTATTTAATAGATACTAAATAAGTTCTTAGGCAGGTACCTTTTTACCCTTGCCTTTTAACTTTCTGTTGCTTGGAAAATGGTTATGATCACTGGAACTACAGCAAACTCAAGAGAGGACATAATGCAAGAATAGTGAGAAAAAAAGAAAAATTTGGAATTTGGAATGGCTGTCATACCAACCTTGGGCTGTCATTCTCTGGATTTGTGCATAAAAGATAAATTAATTTCCATCATATTTAATCTACTATTATTTGAGTTTTCTGCCACATGTAAGCTAAACCTAAATACAAATTTATTTTAAGGGAAAATGTGGAGTTTCTTTGAATGTTGAATGTGCCAGAATGTCAATTTTAGTAAATTATTTTATAAAATGTTCTTTCTAGTTATTTTAAATATCTAAACAATTTAATAAATTATTTAATGTAATTTGTTTCCATAAATGTCAATTTCCATGTACTCATTGTCTTTTGATAGAGGCACTGTGGCTTGGGGAGAAGGCTATTGTCTTTAGAGTCAGATGATTATGGGTTTGAAACTTAAACTTGTCACCTATCTGGCCTCTGGCAATTTCTTAAATTATATGAATCAACCTTCCCCATCTCACATCATCAATTCAGTTTTAATAATAAAGTGATGAAAATATTCTATCTTTTGTTAGGGTTGTCCTTGCACACATGTATCTACATGTGTAAAACATCACTGGGCTATATAGTTAAGATTTCTAAATTAACTGTGTAAATTTTAATTGAAAAAAAATGGCATAACTCCTGTGCTCATTGTAGCACTATTTATAGAAACAGCCTAAATGCCTAATGACAGATAAGTGGATAAAGTGTGTGTGTGTGTATATATATGTCTATATATACACACTATATATATGTGTGTGTATATATATGTGTGTGTGTGTGTATATATATGTGTGTGTGTATATATACAGACATATACGTATACATATCTTATACACACACATACATACACACCCACATGATATTTTGCCATTTGTGATAACATGAATGAAACCGGGATGGGATAATATTAAGTGAAATAAGTCAGAAGAAGAAAGAAACACTACATGATTTTACTTATATATGGACCATAAAGAAACAAAACAAAAAAATAGACAACCAAAACAAACCCTAGAAATCTGGCTGTGGAACTGAGGCTACCAAAAGGGAAGGGGGAGAGGAAGAAATGGGGGGAAGAGGACCAGTGAACTATGGGAGGAGGGTTATGGGTGCTTTGGAGGGGGGTGTGGTGTGGCAACATACATTTGAAGAGGTGTGAACCTGTACCCTTAAACCATATAGTGTAGTAAACCAGTGTTAGCTTAAAAATGATTAATGAAAACAAAACAATCCTGCCATAAATAATCATGCTATAAATGGGGGTTGGGTAGTATGGGAGAGGAAGCCCGTACGCTCAACTGTTTTTATATGATTATTTCTGAGCTAATAAAGAAGATAATCATTGAGGGCAAAGGATTCACTGGTTTCTTATTTTTAAAATTCAGAAAGTGAGATAAATACACTTTACTGGATGTGTTCACATAGGATAACTACATCATGCTGAGGTTTTCTCATTTCTTTTAGAGTGTCTTATCCGAAGACCTGAAAGATGCACAATTATTGCCAGGATAGGATGTAATTTTGTTCCTTATCCTGAAGCTACGAGGTTTGGGAAGAAGATCCAAAAGTTGAACTTTTCATTTAAATTAGGGAGTTGTTTTCCCCTTCCTTGGAATGATAGTTCAAATGGAAAGTGGGGTCTCCTGACTTCTGTAAGAATTGCTGTGGCCTGGGTGAAGTGTGTGGACTCTGAGGGCCTGTGTGCTCACCCTGCACTCTAATCTGCTGCTCCTTGTAGGACCAACATTTATTTCTTCCCTAGGTCTGTGAGTTGTCATCCCTAAACGGTTTTTCCTCCATCAGTCCCTTGTCCCATTGTCCCCAAATGTACTCCATCAGCACATGTGGAAACAGCTTTCCCTGTCATTTGGAAGGTGCCAATTGACTTCTGTGAGAGACAGGCTGGTTTTCACATTACACTGGCAACTATCCTGAACTTTAAAAAAACAGCTGTGTGCTTGCCAGCTGACCTGCTTTCAACCAAACAGCTGCTGCTTCAAGTCAGGGGTAGAGTTTAGAAATCATTGGGGGCTTGAGAGTCACTTTATGCTGACCTTTGCTTGAGAGTATGACACGTCAGGTAAGGAACTGGGTGAATCACTCCAAGTCAGACTGAGTCACTGTGGATGAGGCTCTGTACTGGCTCATCTAAACCTGCTCACCCAGAGATCAGACTAGCTGGATGTGCATGTGCAGAAGTTGTATCAGTCAAGTTATTCTCCTCCTTTTCCTCCACAGCTCTACAGGCTAAAATTAGTGATATTTTTGTGAGAGGAAACACCTACCTTTCCCAGCTTATTTTTTTAAGCAAGGCAGTGAAAATACAAACAGGAATGTTTTTTAGTGAAATGTGGTGTCAATGGCATGTTTTTGATGGTGAGGGAGAGGGGTGGTCCATAACACAGCCCATACATTCACATGCCCAAACACACACACACATTCACACACTCACACACACACATACACACACACATACTCTCTCACACAGTCGTCTCACATGGAGTGACTGTAACTACGGATTTAGATATCTTTATTTCTGTCTTCGTGAAATAAACTCTAAAAACCATGGAATAAACTCCATTTATTTTTCCTCTTTTTACCTCCTCACCTGTACACTGCACAGTAATTTAGCTCCCCAGGACAGCTTTTAAGATTCTAATCTTGTTCCTGTCCGGCACTTTTCTCACAGCAGTAAGGGAAGGATTGGCATTCCTCCACTATTGTATATAAAGGAGAATCCGTTCTTGGAAATAAGAGCATTGTTTATGTTGAAATTCCCTTAGCTTAGCTGAACCTTCGATTATATCGTCCATTCAGATAACCAGATTTTTACCCCCTGTGGTCTGTTTCCATTCTCAGAGAATTGTCAACAATTTATTTCTGCTCTGGTGATTATTTTCATGAGTGAAAGGAAGAGAGACATCTGGGAAGATTTTGATAACTGAGTCATGTATAAAACTCTAAGCATACTTTTAAAAGATACCATGTGATAAAATATAGCTTTTCCTAAAATATAGCAAATTGAACTTAGCTACTGCTGAGGTAGCATTTATAAGCCATGACTATTTATATAAATTGCATTGTTACCTTGATTCCAGATACCATGGAAAACATTTTTTATTTGTGGTCCATAATCTAAGGTATATTATTATTTGAAGAAAAAATCTAGTATGCTTTTTATAATTTCTAATGCCCCAAATGCAAACTAAATAATTTCACTATTTTAGTGGAAGTTTGGTAAATTTAGCAATAGACTGTAGAAAGCTTGAGGTGCTTTTTCAATGTTATACAATAAAATACAATAGAAATCCCCCAGTCACAAGCTAAGATTTGGCATTTACTTCTATGACATTTTGTTTTCCTTATATATTTACTCTATTCAATAGATACTTTCATCCAGAAGCTGCAGAAAGTTGGCAAAGACACATACTGGTCAGTGTGTTTTGTTTAATGAGAGACACTTGTGATTATGCTTTCAGAAACT